TCAATACTTCAGGTACAGCCACACTAGGGCCAACTATGTGGGGAAAAAGTAGCTTTCCTTCATTTCTTGGCTCAAGTGAACCCATTTTAGTTTTCCCAGTTTAATGAGAGCAGACGCACCACTGGCTCTTATTCAGCCTGGTTTCCACTAAATTTTCCATCTTTTTTTCAGCGTAGCTGATGGATATTCAGCTGCTTGTTCCTAACCTCTGCTAACACTCTTATACCTATAAAAATAGTATCTGTAGATCAGAAGTAAGTGTACTTATTGGCAGATTAGTTAGCACTACTGTAAAAGTAGAAGGCATTAAATGTTTGATGCAGTACAGGGAAGAACATCCTTTCTGTTACCGGATGGCCACTGCAACTATGCAGGAAAAAAAAATCACTGAATGAAGGAAGTTGGCAGAACTGAAAGCAAAGTCTGGATTCCAGCCACATCCGCGCTCCATGCCTGGGAATAGGAAATGAGGCACAGGCTACAATCAGTAAAAACAAAAAAAAAAAAACAACAAAACTTTGAGAGAACTGTAGCCAGGAAATGAGAAGTGGCTGCCACACTTGCATATGGCTTCAATACCCTGCATGCTTAGTTTTGGATATTTCAGAAACATATAAGTGAACTTCTGTAAGGCAGCAGTGGCTTTGGAACTTGTCAGTATTAAGGATTTATTTTGGAGGGGAAAATGCTGTGTGTTCTGTGGACATTTCATAGACTCATAGAATGGCATGGGTTGAAAAGGACCTCAAAGATCATCTAGTTCCAACCCCCCTGTGGGCAGAGTTGCCAGTCGCTAGACGGGGCTGCCCAGAGCTATTTCTGGAGGACAAGAGAAAATACCTCTGTCTGTTACTATTTTACAGAAGTTGACTGAATGTGCTTTTCCAACTTGCCTTTGGTAGTAGCTTATGGTTTGTGAAAGGCCTGTGGATTCTTGTTCCTTGATGATACTGAATTTCTCATTCCTGAACAGGTGTGGGGAACTGAGAAACAGAATTGACTGAGCTTTTTTCCAGAAGAAGGATAAATAAATCATGAAGTGTTACAATAGAAACTATTTCTTGATCTTGACAGCTCTTAAAAGGCTTGCTTTTGACACTTGAAAGCCCTCTAAGCAGTGATCTCAGACACAAGGTTTTCTGTACAGAGTTAGCTGGTCAAGTAAGTTTCATGAGCTGCACTCGTGTAACTTCCAGCAGATATGAGTGGTATTCAGGGAACTCAGAGGAAATGACAATGACAAGAACTAAACATCAGCCTTGCTTTCCATTATCACTAGGTTTTTGCATAAATGTGTGCCATCCTCTTCTCCTCTAAGACTTACAGTAGTTATTAAAGCACATTCTTGCATTTTTTGGAAACTGTGTGGAAAAGGAGATTTTGCGTTAGGACACATCGATGGCATGTAATGGTGCTCTTGAGTCCACTGTACAAATAAACATCTGTAAGGGTTGTTGATGTCCATTGTGGAGTTTTCTGCTGAAACCTTCTGTTTGTATTTTGATGAAGGTACTTGGGTTTGCAACCAGCGTGGCTTAAGATTTGTATTATGGAGAAGAATTGTGGTCTAACATGCAGATCACCTGCAGAGCATGGTATTTTAGACTTGAAGCACAGACCTTTGCCATTCACGTTAGCACAGTTCCATGCTGGAGTGCAGGCACTAGAAACTTTAGTGTTGGGTGTCCCAAGTTCAGACCAGGCTCTGAAGTTCACTTTACTATTTGCTCTCAGTTCCATGATGGCTGAACTCCTAAGCCCTCTGAGGCAGCAATATTATAGGTGGATATATGTTTATAATTATCTAAAGAGAGATGGGAGGCAAATGGATGAGGCCAGGCTCCTCTTGGTGGTGTGTAGCAATAATACAAGAAGTAATGACCTAAAACTTGAACAAAGGGGTTCCATGCAGAAGAACTTCTTTACGGTAAGGGTGACAGAGCACTGGAACAGGTTGCCCAGAGAGGTTGTGGAGTCTCTTTCTATGGAGATATTCAAGACCTGGCAGGACACCCATCTGCGTGACCTGTTGTAGAAGGGGGGTTTGAACTCGGTGATCTCTCGAGGTCCCTTCCAACCCCTACAGCTCTGTGACTCTGTGAATGCAGGCAATGTGAACGCATTAGGATTTTATTTGCTATTTGTTTTCTGAAAATTGTATGTCATACAATTTTTACTAAATGTTCTCAAATACTGTACTAAACATGTTGCTGCATGTTATCAGTTTAGTTTTTGACTTACAGACTTGTATGTGCTAACTGCTAAGAAATTGTTATTGATTTACAAAATAGATCAGAGGGTTTTTAATGAACTTTCTGAAATGCTTATTTTTTATTGTTTCAATTATTCATGTTTGAAGTGGTTCTTCTCAGTAGAATGCATACTGTGTGTAGTCTAACTGATTATTTACTAGATCTTTGTCTTTGTGTTTAATTTTTTCTGACAGCTGTCAAAATGTGTAGTATTTTTCTTGAAACAGAAAACATTGATGTAATAACAAACTATTTTGGCAGACAAAGTGCTTGCTACTACATTGAGCGTTTTAGAGAACTTCTCTGTATAACCTTGAAGTTCATAATTTCAGGCAAAAGTTGCGGTGACCTTTGTGTAGATGCTTGTGCCCAAGAGGTAACGAAAGTGAAATTATTTCAGTACATGAGGCTTAGGATTTGGCACAAGCCTTGTGCTTTTTATGCATCAGTGAGACTGGTAAGAAAATAATCATAAAAAACAAAGGCTGTAGATTACAAGGAAGCCACAAAACTAAATGCGATCTAAAATAAACTTGAGGTTCAGCACAGATAATATGCTTTAAATGAAGAACATAATGTTTGGCAAAATTAAAAGGCAAGCAAGGTTTTGGAAATTGCATGTTGTTGATGGAAACGGGCCAGACTACCAACTACCCATTATATACTGCTGTCAGGCCAAAGTATCGAAATGTGCCAGCATTTTGTTCTCAGCTTCATTCAGCACTTCTTTACTCATAACTGCTGTCCTGCCTCCTTCCAGAAGGAGCAGTCAGCTGGGAGCTCTAGGCCTCAGAGCGCAGGCAGGGGAACCTTTGGGCTGCCTCCACAGCCTGCCTGGGCTGACGTGTCTCCACATCCCTCCTCTGGAGGCCTCTGCTGCAGGCCAGAAGTGTGCAAGTGGAGAAGGGCTGTGCCCTGGGGGAGTGTGCGGACTCAAAATTGAGCTCAAGTGATGAGCTGGTAGTCTAGAAAGAGGAGGTGTAAGTAGCATGGAGTAAATGTGCTTTGTGGAAGAAGGGCAGCAGCAGCAGAGAGCTGGAGGCGTCCTGTCGGTGTGTGGGAGGAGCAGCACGCCTCCAGCCTCGTGCCTTCTGCATGGGCAGCAGGCTGCCTGATGGGTCCCATGGCTCCTCTGTGCTGTAACATAAATTGTATCTTAGGAGAGGTTTCCTGGAAAAAATAAAGCCAAGACCAGCATTTTCTGTCATACGTGTGGGGAACCATTGTGAATAATATTCTTTGAGGTAATTTTTCACTGACTGAATGTAGTGATGTTTGCCTTGATAAGAGACTCCGATGCTTCCAATGAAGCCCTTTTGTGTCTCTAATTTCTATCTGAGCACTGTAAGGATAGCTGGTCTCTCACCTTAAGTTTTCTCCAGGAGGATACAGTTTGTGCTATGTTAGGCCTCATACATTGGTAATCTTTTGATAACCTCATGTAAAGAATCTCTGGAAAGCAGATAATCCTAAAAAGAAATGAAGCCCCTCCCTCCTGCACTTTTTTTCTTATTATACCTTTCTAATGTTTTGTAGGAAGCAGTCTTTTTTTTTTTTTTTTTTTTTTTTTTTTAGTTGTATTTGTATCTGCATAGGGAACTAAAGAAAGTGCTTAGACTACATTAGTCTCAATTAGCAAAATGAAGAGGGTTGAGTTCCATACTAACGGGTTAACCTTCAGGACACAGGCTCCTTTAAATCCCAGGGATAAAAATAAAGTCAAAGGTTTTTCATCTTCTCTTTGTGATTGAATTTCTTATACTATGTCACATTTTCCACTCTTTTTCAGCAACCATAGGTACTAAAAATTAACTTCCTATAATGAAATTTTTTTCCTGTGATATCTTTTACCTTCAGAAATAGAGGTTTCAACAAAATAAGCTGTAAAAGACACATTTTTTTTTAATATAGCTTTTGTCATAGCAAGACAGTTTAACTATCATATGTAGAAATTTGATGATTATGGGATCAGAAAATAGAGTAGCATGTCTGAAGTATGCACATAACTGTTGATGATGAATGTGCCCCTAGTCCTCTGGAAATAGAAAGCAGAACGTGTGTGGGGTTTTTGTGTGTGTACGTGAGTTTTAAACTATTGTCCCTAGTTTTTACGCCTCAAGTAGTCTTCTTTCTACCTTTGGCTTGAGATGATAGTCCTTATTTAAATAAGTGAATGGCTTAAATGAAGATTAATAAATTACTTGCTTAACTGTGGTAACTTGTTATGGGCTTGGGGTTGTGCCCAATGCTTGAAAAATAACTGACAAAGCATTTCAGAATAATTACACTGTGCAGTGTTTTTGGATAAGTAATTTACCAAAGTATACTTGCATCTGTCTGATGGAATTATGTAAAAATGTAATTGGAAGAATGAGATTTTTTTTTTTCCTGCTCCTAACCAGTTTGTTATCTAGTGCTGTGGGCTCTTGAATCACTCAGTCTGTATTTCCTCCAATTGTATTTGCAGTTCACAGCTGGTCACATCCTAAAGCAAAGTTACTTCTTTTTGTAACAGCTAGAATGTGTGCTGTATGTTATCAGTTTTGGGTAACCACCTTGAGTTCAGTTCAGTTGGAAAGAAAGTAGTTCTTAAAAGTTACTCTTCTGAAGCACCGTAAGTGAAACGTGTTTCTCTCTGATTTGTGCTCTGAAGTTGATTGCAATTTAGTGATTGTGAAGTATTTGTAAGCATAAATAACAACAACAAAAAAAACCAAACAACTGTTAATGATCTCTTTTCTTCTGCAGAAAATTACATCAGCAGTTCGAAATGTATAAGGAGCAAGTAAAGAAGATGGGTGAAGAATCGCAGCAGCAGCAGGAGCAGAAGGGTGATGCCCCAACCTGTGGCATCTGCCACAAAACAAAATTTGCTGATGGCTGTGGCCATAACTGTTCATATTGCCAAACTAAATTTTGTGCACGCTGTGGAGGAAGAGTATCTTTACGGTCAAATAAGGTACGGAGTTATGAAAATCTAGCAACAAAATTCAGACCTCAGTATCTTTTATTCCTTGCTTAAGTGTGCTAATTACTGAAACAGATTTCCCTTACGGGAATAGATTGTTCTAAAAGTAATGCCTCCTATTTATTTCCATGGAGAACAACAGCAGATATAAAGAGTGCAGTAACACAATTTAATAGTGCAAATTCTCAGCTACAAAACACTATTTTTCAGCTTGCTCACCATCATTAACTTTGCATTGACTTTGCATTCACCAGCAATGAACAAGAGCCTGCATGCTATGCTTGTGAATATTGGCATGGCCATCCAGAATTTGGCTTGTCTTTCACATCTGTCACCACTGCTGAAATGCACCACCCACCACCTCACTGTGCTCACATCTGCTCTTTGGTCTCCATAAACATTCAGCAAGCATTGATGAATGTCAGTGGATGCCACTTTTTCCGCACAAAGCAATTCAACTCCACACTTTTACTTCACCCACACTTCCTTGTAAGATGCAGTATGATGCCATCTGTTACATGGCAATGATATGTAATGGAATATTGGTAAAAAGGTTCAACCTCTACTGCCTTACCACCAACATTTGCCTCCGACATTGTGGAGCAACATAATAAAATAGGAGGTATTGCTTCGTACAAAAAATTCAATGCACTAACTGTGCAGATTCGCAGCTGGCATTACAGGTGTTTATTAGGTAAGAACAGGTAGAAGAGCAAACTGAATTTTTAAGAAGTTTGGTCATGGAATGAAACATTCAGCAGGACTGAGGTAATCATGGAGAACTTCTGTTCTGAAATTAGTTTATTCAGTTCTTCAGATAATGTTCACATCTTTTAGATGCCTATACCAGACTCTGACAGATATTTGGAGAATATTCTTGGCTACTCAAAACTCATAGTAGTTTTTTGTGGAAATGCGTATTTTGTAAATCAACACGATCATGTATTTATTTATTAACATAATCATTTGTCAAAACCATTTATTTCCAAAAGTCTTTTTTTTTCTGTGATAGATTCATTGCAGTCTATAGTACTGTCTTAATCTTTTGGAAGGGAGGTGACAACGTTATGCTTTTTTTCGTCCAGGGAGGCTTTAATAATGGGCTGAAGTTTTGATTGACAGACTAGAAAATAATCTATTTGCTTATGATTAAAGAAACTGAGATTATGAATAAATCTCTCAAAATGCCTTGGTATGACCAGATTTTGTTAAAGTCACTTTAAAAGTCTATTGAAACTTTTACATTGAGTAAACTTATATATTACTGCTTTTACAACTAAACTGTGTAACTATTAATCAGAGAGAGAATTCCTGAACTAGTTCCATCTGATTATAAAAGCAATCAGGGCAGTTTTTTGTGTCATTGTATTAAGAGTCAAAGAAAGAGAATGTTAGGAGGAATGCATCATTTCCTAATGAGATGTTTAAGACATTGTTTAGAGTTGGAAGAGATCTTTCTCAGGAAGAATCATATAAACTTGGCAGATATTTGTCTAACTTATCTTGACAAGTCTCCAGATTCTTTTATACCCTCTTAGGTCATTTGTTCCATTGCTTACAATCAAATTCTATCTTTCTGTAAGGCCACTTCCACATTCACCATTGAGTCTGTTCTGCAGTTCCTCTCAGTTGGCATTTTTCTAATACTACGGTCAATAATTTAGTGTAATAAATAAACTTTTCTGGCTCTCATGCCTTCTGTTCTTGATCACTTATGAACATGCTGGAAAGATCATCGCTAGACAGATTCCCTGTGGGTCTTCACTGGAGATAGCTCTCAGTTAAAAAGCACTGACTATTTATTCCTGTTAATTTATTTTTGTCTTAAACCAGCTAAGTTTTCTCTTGACTTTATTTAGTCCTGTTTCATGGTAGATGAAATTTCTTCAAAAGCTTGGAAGGCCAACACGGCTATATCAACAAACTCCATTTACTCACTTTCTCGGTGACTTCTAGAAGAAATTGTAGTAAATGTAACAGCCATGACTTCCTGTTACTAGTGCTTTTTTTCCTTATATTTTACTATAATCTATTCAAATACTTTCTAATTTTATTCTATATTTTGGCTTCCACAGATTGGTGCAGTGGGGATGTCAGGCTCACGTGTCTATTAGGTGATCACACTCTCAAAGTCTTAAACTGGCCTCACTTTTTCTTCTTATTCATCTTGTCAATGTGAGACTATTTTTCAGTCAGTAGTTACATGTTTTATGCTTGACATGTTTTACGCTGAATACAGAATCTGCTTTTTTTGAAAAATAATTAGTTTTGTTTTGTTGATTTACTTTGCAGATCATTTTTCTGAAAGATCAGTTTGGGTCACTTTATATAAAGTGAGATTCTAGAGTAAGTCTTTGTAATCACAACGAACCAAAATATTTAATTTAGAAACCAAAATATTTAATTTAGATTCAGTCTAAATTGCTGATGTCTTTTATGCCTATACACATTATTTCACAAAATTAGTTTTGAATCCACCTTAGTGTAGCTTATAAGAATTCATTCTTTTTCATTTTCCTTACTGAATACTACTTCACCTTCTTGCAAGATGACTTGTTAATAGCTTCTTGTGTTAGCTGTATCTCATTTATTTTTTTGTTCTTTTGAACATAGATGTTTTTAGACATGTTTTACATGTCTTCTTTGGATGTTGTGTAAGATACTTCTTAAAGAATCTTTGTGTTTCCTGCAAGCGTTTCACCCTTTTGACTGTTCCTTTTGTTAGTTTGTTCTTAGACTGAACCTTTTGCCTTTTTTTCTTTCTGATCTTTCATTGTACAAACAAACCTTTGTTCTCTTGCTTAATCTTTTAAAATCTTCCACTATGAGTACATTTAGGAATAAAATGAGAATATGAATTTGAAAAATTGTTACACTTTTATTTTGCTCTCTCATGTTAGTATTTTTTGTTGTAATCAATGACAGGATGTATGTAACATTTATTTGGCTTTGTCTGAATTAATAAAGTACTTGGAGGTGATGGGATGGTGATGATTTTTTGTAAATTCTCAAAACAAGCAGTCCAGAGAATTTTATTCTTAGTATAATTTTTGGCTCATATTAAAATGCCAAAAAACATTTCCTAGTAGGAAGAGCAGTGGTATTTTTAAATACAGATAACAAGGTGAAGATAAGAATGTGTGATTTGTCCTCCCGGACTCCAGTCTGCTTTACAGATATACCTGCATATAAAACTGTGCAGGAAGGTGTTTTGCACAAAGAATCAAGTTAGGGGTCTCAGAATGGTTGGGTGATTTATTCCTTTTTCAATTTAGATACAGTGCCTCAAAAGAAGGCATTAAAATTAAGTCAGTGTGGTACAAAAATTGTAACTATATGTGAGTTCTTTCTAGATCAAACAGAATAATGATTATGGTGCTACTGTTGCTTCTGTGCCCTTGCTTACTACATTAGTGAGTGTTCGACCAGGGTAGGGAAGTTAAATTTCATGAAGGTAGGGGAACTTTAAATGGCACCACTTACTTTTTTGAACAGTTTCACATTGATTCAAATTCTATCAGAAGTAATAAATCAAATAACAATCCATAATGATAAGGTTCTACTGACATACAAGATACACTTTATTTGCAGAGAAATGCACACTGAATGAGACAGTAAACAGTAGAATGAGTTTTATGCAGCTAAGAAATTTAAATGCTAAAATGTTGAACTTACACTACTTTCAGATAGATAAAACTGTGTAGTGAATATACATTCCAGCAACTCAAAATGCCAGTTTAGTAAACTAACATTTAATTTGTAGAGAAAGAAAACAATACTTGTCTGAAAACTTAATTTGAAATGTGGTAAATACTTCCTTTTAGGATGCTGGGCAACCTACTACCCATTACAGCTGCTGAAACATTTCTCTCTTTGTCTCTGAACATCAAGAGATTTTCAGCTGTTTGGCAGGAACCTGCAAATGTGTTCGAAATACATGAAGTTTAAGTAGGAAAATTCTTCAGCTCCCTCTGGTTCTTTGAAAGATTTGCATTTTGATTACTTCTCTGAGGCTGTTAGTTTTTCTTTTTTTTTTCCTTCAGAAAACCATCAAGTTCTTTGATGAGCAAATGCATTTCTAACTGCAGGATGTACAGTGCAGACCATCCATAAGCAGTCAGAAAATGTAATTTATTTCATTCTGTTAGCAGGGAACAAAGAATTAGTGCCAATTAATGCCAATATCAGGATTTCTAGGTCACTGGGACTTAGAGCAGTTGCAGTGATTTCCTGTCACTTTCAAATAAGTTGGTTTGTTTTTTTTTTTTTTTTTTTTTTTTTTTTTTTTTTTTTTTAGAAAAATGGCTTGGTTCTGCGTTTCTCTAGAAAAGACATGACATGCATATTATCATACACTAGAAACCTCCAGCACATCTGAAATCTGATCATGGTATATGAGAACAACAATGTTAATGCCATAGTCGAATCTGGGATCAGCTGCCTAGGAAGGCTGTATGAGAAGGAGCCCTCAGAGGCTCCAAGGGGCGCTGTTTTTCTTGGGAGCTGCTTTACAGCTTGGGTACTCACCTCCATGCCACTGTCTGTCTGTGCCCCTTGCTGACCTGCGTCTGTAGGCTTGGCTTCCTGGCTGGCCTTTGTTCTGGCTCATCTCCATGACCTGTTGAGCTGTATCCTACTTTCCTTACCTGGGGCTGTGGGACAGAATTCTGTTGGTGGAAGCATTACCTGGCTCATATCTTCCTTTGTGCCCTGCTTTTGGCTATGGCTAGGCTACTGGCATTGCCTGCACCTAGACAGCACAACTCAGAAAAGCTGAGCTCTTTTGCTGCATACAGCACTGAGATTAGAAGCTCGCACAGCCGTCATTTTGAGCTGTGAGACCTTCTCAGCTTTGTAGATGTTGAAAGGAGCCTCTGAAGATCATCCAGCCTAAGCCCCAGGTACAGTAGGTTTCCTGCAGTAAGTTCCACAGGAAAATGCCCGGGTGGTTTTGAGTCTCTCCAGAGAAGAGACTCCACAGCCTCTGTGGG